ATTTTTTCACTAAAGCCCCAATATTACGGACAAATCCATCTACTTTGGCAGTAAAATCTTGGAATACTTTGGCCGAATAACTAAATATAATTGAGAATTTTATGAAAATGATACAGACCAGCTGCTCCATTGGAGTTCGCCGACTGGAAATTCACGGCACGAGATGTGTAATAAGTTCTCCCAACGCCTGAATCCAGCGCCGCCTGCAACCTACCGCAAAAGCTTGTTAGTTATTAATCCAAAAAAGGGGGCAAGAAAAAATAAAAAATAAAAAATAAAAAGGAAAAAAAACATGTGAAGGTTCGAGAGATGAAGAGGACAACATGATGAAAACAACTCCGACTACCTGGGCACCATATTTCGGATAGCTCTAATGGATTTCATTGTCTGTAGTTTTTCTGCAACTGAGCTGCTCGTCGAGTTTGTCTCGGGTTTTTTTCTCCTAAAACCCTAAAGAAGAGGTTTATCAATAAACTGGGTTTTAGAATATCGTGATTCAGTATAGTAATAATTACGTTGTGTTATTACAAAGTAGCTGATTTTCTTTTCTTATTAACACACACGCACTACAAAGTGGCTGTAGTTTAGTGGTAAGAATTCCACGTTGTGGCCGTGGAGACCTGGGCTCGAATCCCAGCAGCCACAGAATTTATTTTAACTTTTGGTTGTTATAAATAGTAATACACTATTCAGGTTTATACATCAGGGAAATTCCATAGCTTTTTTTTTTTTCTGTTTGATTATTAGACAATAATAAAAAATTACATGACAGATTGTAATAGTTGTTTTGCTATTAGTTGATAATGTATAACTTATTGTATTAGCAAATAACTTATTGCGAACAAATAACTTATTGCGAAATTGTAATAGTTGATTTGACGAACGAATCATGTGAAAAATAATTGTTTGGTAAATAGCGAATTGTATAGTTTTTGAAATTTTTATATTGACATATTTTAATTTTTAATTTTTGGTTATAAATACATTCTTCAGGTTTATAAATCAGGGTAATTCCNGACAATAGTAAAAAATTGAATGACAGATTGTAATAGTTGCTTGGCTATTAGTTGATAGTGTATAACCCATTGTATTAGCAAATAACTTATTGCAAATTGTAATAGTTGATTTGACGAACGGATCATGTGACAATTAATTGTTTGTGAAATAGCGAATTGTATAGTTATTTTGAAATTTTTATCTTGGCATACTAATATATGAATCATCTATTTTCAAAACGCTTCTATATTGAAGTTTTTCAAAATTTGGCGTTTTAGCCGAAATGGCTAATTAATTTATTTTTTTTCTATCGAACAAGCTAACTAGCGGATTTGAATGGTCAAACCTCTAAATAAGGTTCAATTTGTTAACATTCAGACTGGACCGGTACCGAATAACTGATAAATGATTGTATTAGCGGATAGTAGATAACATTGTTTTGACCAGCGATTTCAATTAGCGGTTTGTCAAATAACGATTGGTAAATAAAAAAAATTTATAACTATTACATTGTAATGCCTTGTTAACCAACATTTTAAAAAAATGTTGGTTTTTCTCTTTTATTTAGTCTTAACCCAATTTTTTTTTTTCATAATATTGTTTTGAATAAAACAAAATTAATCAAATAAGTTTATTACTAATTAGCGAATTTGATTGAGCGCCTGATCCAGAATCCTTGATAAACAGACAAAGCTAATATATATTTATTTAAAAAAAAAAAAGTCATTGTTGGATACCCACAATATTTTTTGAACTCATATAACGTGAATACGACAACTTTCAAAACATTATCAAATGTGGTAGTAAAACTAATTGAAAAAGGAATTTAATCTTTATTATTATTATTATTATTATTATTATTATTATTATTATTATTAAGAAATTTTGAATTTAAAAGCTGCATTATAAATTTTAGAAGAAAAAATACTATAAATCTTTATTTGGTGGTATTTATTTATTCTTTTAATTATTACATTACTCTCCAGTCTTTATTTTGAGTGTGATTTATTAAAAGTGGGTGGGGCAAAACCGCAAAAGGCCAAAAGCTTTAAAGGCAAAGTCTCTCTCTGAAGAAGCTCTGTGCCAACATCACCCCACCAGCAAATGCTGATACATCTTTATCGCGAAAATTTATGATTGTGTTATTGGGTTTCTTATTATTATTGGATTATATACATTCGTATGAATGTATGTTTGATTCAATGATAAAATTTCTGATAAAAGCAGTATGAATATATGTTTTGATTCAATGATAAAATTTCTGATAAGAGCACTCGAGGTAGCGTTAAATTTGCCCTTTATTGCCATCTTATGATCTTCCTACGTTTTTGCTCATGTTTCTAAAATTTGATTGTGTTTTTAAATTTTGATTATATTGTATCTATACTTATATAAAAAGGATCCTATTTATTATAAATAGTATCCAAAAAAGTCAACTACAATTAATGCTATTACTATTTTCAGTATGTATTTAATTTAATTATTTTATATTGAAATTAATGTTAAGCGATTCAATTAATGCTATTACTATTCTCATACAATCGGTTTTCCTGCGAAAAAATCCCACAAAATCGGCTTTAATTTTTGTATATTTGAAATTTCTTTCTTATCTTATATTTTTTTTTATTTTATCTCATACAATCCGTTTAGTCAACAAAATCCCATAAAATCGTTTTAAACTTTTTTTTAGATTGAAATAGAAATTTCCTCCTTATCTTTTTACCAAAAATTTTATTATTTATGTATTGAAATTCTATAATCTGATTTCAGATTGTATCATTAAGAATATATTATAGTTATATTATCAAATCATAAAAAGATACTAAATCCATATTGTAAAAAAAAATAATTCATATAATTTTATAACAATTCTATTACACTATTTAACAGTATTCTTTTTTATTATTGTTGATATCAGGATTAAATACCTTGTGATAAAGGATAGATTAAAGATTTCATAAAGGCCAAACCACGAACCGGGTCTTTGACAATGTCAAATTAAAAATTTAAGATAAAAAATGTTATTCTTAAATATAAAAAAGAATTATTTAATACTTATTTTATAGCATTACTAGTTAGAAAATAAAGAATTACTCATTTAATTTACGTACCACTTATAAAGCATAGTATCTCATTTGAGCAGAAGGAGGTTAGAACATACAGCGTTGCGTTCACACTTGAATTTAATTAATTACGGTACCGTCTCTAGTTTGAACGCAACGCTGTATGTTCAGTACCTGGTCCTGCTTGGTCCTGCTTGTACTGACCAAGCAGGACGAGGTAATTAATTGATTCAAGCGTGAACACAATGCTGTATGTTCAGTACCTCGTCGCCTTCACACTAAGGACGAGGACGAGGTACTGAACATACAACGTTGCGTTCAGACTAGGGACGGTACCGTAATTAACCAATTCAAGTGTGAACGCAACGCTGTATGTTCAGTACCTTCAAGTTCACACTAGGGACGGTACCGTAATTAAGTGAACAAACTCCATAAAAGAGACTAATAAACTTCACAAAAGATACTAACAAACCAAAAAAAGGAAAACAACACACATCTAAAAATAATAGAATATAATCTCCCCTACTTCTCGCAGGCGCACCGCTACGACCACCCAAACCAGCACACGGCCCAAAACCCACGATAAAAATATCCAATAGAGCTGCAAATATGAGACCCTAAAATATACGAACTTACTTAAGTGCATAGTCAGATCTTGCGAGAAGAAGAGTCTCAGTCCATATTTGGGCTCCAAAAGTCTTCAAGCGGGGAAGGCGAAACCGATACCGAGGAAGCAAACCCGACTTGCCTCTCCAGAGAAGCCAACCAACAGCCTGAGACGGAAGGACCGAGGTGGAGGCAACCACCATCGGTAATCCCTAATCGATCCCTGAGTTGCGGATAGAAGAAGCAATCGGGCGTCTCTGACTCAACCTGTGGCCGAAGGAACAACGGAACGCGAACTAGTCGGCAGAGGAGGGCGGGCCGCCGAAACCCTCCTAATTTTTTACTTGCTACCGATAGAATTTTCAGAGAGAAGGGTGAGCAATTTAGAGAGAGAAGAGACTTTTTTTTTTCTTTAAAAAGAAAAATATTCTGCATTTATACATGTAGAATGTTCATTGTGGGCATTACCAATTTGTCTAAACGAGACATCAACTGTTATTTTTTGACTAATTTTATACTAATAAATTGAAGGGATTTTTAAATTCAAACCAAAGTGAAATTTTAGGGAGTACAAAATTCGAGCTTATACTAGAAAACAATGTAAGTTCATGTAAATTTGCGGAAGCAAATAACTAAAAATGAACTTTCAGGAGAGCGTCCCACTCTCTCTTAGAATTCTTTCATTAAGCAAGTGTTTAGCCAACAAGTCTAAATAGAATTTACTCGCCTAGATTTTCTCTAACTAACCTACTTTGTACTCCACCTACCTAACTACTTTCTGGCCATGGCGTAGACTTACGTTGCACGTATGGATCCCTTCAAGCAGTATGAAGGTGCACGTCCCAAGCACCAAGTAGAAAACAAACAGACAACTCTAATTACTAGCGATGAACCAATATCCTTGAATTTGATCAATCTATATAATCTAAACCAAAGCTCACGAGCTCTCAACGATTAAAACTCTAAACCCTATGAAATAATAATGGAATGACTCACCCTCTAACAGAACTCATGAAACTAATATATACAAAACTATATACGATATGCAGGTTCATCAGAATTTGAGAGTTTTCAAATTTATTCGATCTTCTCGTTCAGCTTTAGGAACTGAATTCCCATGCCTTGTAGGCCACCTACCATGCACAAATATCGTGTCCAAATTCTTCAAATTTAATCGTATTTCTCTCTCTCCAATATTGTGAACTTTCTTTCTTTGTTTTTATGCCAGCTTTTGGAAATATCTTCTTGCTCGATTTTTTAGTTCTCTTACTCACGATTTTCAGCTTTTAAATCTCACATGAATATCTTCCTTTTATCATCATTGTTCTTCATTTTTCTACAAGTAAAAGAAGATAAATTAAATACTTATCATAAAATATAATAAGAAAATATCAAAACTAAGGAAATAGAATATATATAAAATTTCATGATGAACCTAATATATTTCCTTGACCTACAAGCTAAAGGAAGATAATAAATTCCAAATACACAATAATAAGAAAATAAGTAAGATAGGTGAAGTTATTAGAACATCTTCCATTTCTCTTCGGCCATTGATTCCACGTTACATATTTCAAAAAACATAAATATGTTAAATAAATAATATTTTCTATTAACGTCAAATTCAATTTTCTTATACAAAGTATTGGAATTTGTAAGTCTAAAATACATCAAATTAAAAAACATAAATATGTTAAATAAATAATATTTTCTATTAACGTCAAATTCAATTTTCTTATACAAAGTATTGGAATTTGTAAGTCTAAAATACATCAAATTCCTATTTCTTTAATATTTAATAATAATATATTTATACGGACCATGGCCCCACACAACCACGCGCCGTCAGCATCAGACTAATCTCAACGGATAGAAATTCGCCACGTGGTTCGGCAATCTGTTTTTCTCTTTCCCCCCAATTTTCCCCAATTGATGAAAAACGCCTTTCTTGCTGTCTTCTCTGCAACCAAAAAGCTTATTAGACACCTAGAGAGAGAGAGAGAGAGAGAGAGAGAGAGAGAGATTTGAGTGCTTTGCTCGCGGTTGTCTGAAAATTCAAGGCCCAACATTTTCCGGCGAGTTTCCCGGTAATGCTCTCAGTTTAAGCTCTGACCTTTTCCGGAAGAGTAACCCGGTTGACCTATCTCTCGCGCTCTGCT